CTCTGGACGGATTGAAGTTATATAATCATCGAAAAAAAGTTAGAAAATCTTCACCGTTTTCGTCCCTCGCCATGGCGAATAAGGCCTTCGTCTTGGCCATTTTCGCTGAGCCCTGAGGGCCACAGGCTCAAACCTACAGAGCTGAGACTCACATCAGTAATATTAGGTTATGGCCTGAACGCAATGACACTAAAATCATTCGCCCAATTTGAGCTCTTTAGCGCCACCTGTCGGAAAGTAATAGGGCACTAGTGCTCGGATCGGCCCGAAAATCGCTGAGTGTATTCTCTGGACCGACACGAGCAAAACATTACATTACGCAAAAGTTGTAAGTCCTACACCTGACCACTGGGGGCGCTGGAAAGTGAATAAATGAGCTTTTTAGGGCAAAATGTTTGTCCGATGAGGCTAAAAATGAATTCAGAAATACAACGTATGACCCTGAACACAACGATATGCAACACACAACTGTGAGTGCAACAGCGCCACCTACAGGCAGTTCAATGTGTTGCATTTTTGGCTTCGTACTAGTCCCTGGATTTTCATCGCACAGACTTCTACCATGTCATTTCTATATCTGGACGGATTGAAGTTATGTAATCATCGCATAAAAATTTTGTTATCGTTTTCATGCAAGGTAGTGGGGAATTTCTCCATGTTTGATGCTCTCCTGACCACAGGCTCAGACCTACAGAGCTGAAACTCACATCACTAACAGTTGGTAATGACCTGAGAGTAATGGTGTGAAAACACACACCTAATATGACTCTACAGCGCCACCTATGTAAGGCTTCTGACCTAAACTTTTCCGATCTTCACCAAAGTTGCAAAATCAAATCTTTACATCTGTACGAGCAAAATACTACTCTACGTAGAGGGTGCATGTCCCGGAGGTGACCACTAGGGACGCACTTTATCATATAAATGAGCTTTTATATATGTAATCCTGGTCAAATCGGGCTGCCAATTCGTCTGCGTGACGCTTGTGGGACTGGCGCCCAGGAGGCGGTCGCAAGAGGGGCGAGGCCTTTCATCGCCGCTTGCGGCTTTAATTATGATTATTTTTTTTTTACGTATACTTCTATGTTAAACTGAACATTATTACTATTTATCTTGGTGCTTTTGTTGTGTACTTATATATACAATTTGTCTGAGTATCTTGTTTGTTTAATTCTTGTAAGTTGGCATGTACGAAATGAAAATAAATGAAATGAAATCCTACACTGTAACAAATTTCTGTAAAATTACAATGAAATTTCAACATTAAACAAAAGTTATTTTGAAAAACAATTCAAATATGCACATTTAATTTTTTGCTAGCGAGCAACCATGAGAGTAAAATGCATGGGAGGTTATTAGTTAAAGTTGTGTTTTGAACTAGTTTATACTTGTTTATTTATTTGTTATTAAAAACTATTATCGTTCTCCACCAGTGATTGATTTATTCATTCATTTATTGAACTGAATCTGTGACAAACTGATATATTTATGTATGTGGGTTGATTCAAAACGTTATTTCAATTTGTAAAGACACCCTAGTCCCGGAGAAGCAGCAAAGTGGAGACGTTAATTCAAGATGATGTGACAGATAATACATGACACTGTGGACGCATGAAAGAGTTGATCCAAAGTTTAAGTCGTGGTTTGTTTATGTTTAGTGTTGTTACCACTGGAGGAGTGCGACAGGGCGTAAGACAAGTTGTACTATATTAAATTCAGTCAAATCCATTTATTTTTGTAGAGCTCAAAATCACAACAGACTTGACAAGGTGGTTGATATACTAAAGGGAAATAAAACAGGCTAAAATGTTGTTGAGATAAACATGCTTAGATGTTTTCAACTAATTGGACTGAAACCGCTGGTCAAACACTCCTCTCATTCAAGCATCTACACTCTTTTACATCATACACTCTTTTGTACAGAATATTCTGTAAGATGTTTAGTGAGACCTGACTCCTCTACGTGTCTAAAGTGTGCAACAAACAACAACGAAACGTTCAAAAATATGTGTGTAATACTTCTTTATTTTTTGAGACAAAATGGCTGAGTGACAGAATAATGCAGACAAGAGCTGAAAATAGAGTGGTATCTCCATAACGGAAAATAACAATAAAAGTCAAGCAACAACTCAAGATTGGTCAATGACCTTTGGTCATCAAACAGGATGAAGCCATCTGAGTGACACAAGGAGTGGCCTGGTTCAGCAGCTCCGTTCACAACAGAGAACCGTGTGTGTGTTCGTGTGTGTGTGTGTTATAATAAATAATGTTGACCAATGAGCAGTCAACTTCAAGTTCAAGACAAACAGATCACAGGATGAAACAAAGTACCTCAAAATTATCTGCAAAGACTGCAAGTACCAAATGTCTAGTTCAGAATATGCCTTGCATACAAGATGTACCATCCGGAAATTACAAAGCACCTTGGTTTGTTTGGCAAAGAAAAAATATAAACTAAAATCAAACCATTTTTAGATTGACAATGAATCGATTGCATATGACAAAAGTTTTGTCTGAACAGCTGGAATGTTTTAGGTGGACAGTACAAAGTTGGCTACCAGGAAAACCCAACATTAGCTTGTGATACTGCATATAAAATGGCAGGAGAGAAAAATATATAAAACAAACTAAGAGATATGTACAACCACCTGTTTTCACCTGGTGGGCTGACTCCAGCGGGACTGCCTGAGGAGGCCATCATATGGCCGCTCACCCCTGGAGATTGCCTCAATTTATTTTCAAAAACATACATATTTTCAAGCATACAAAGTATTCACACTATATTATCCTGCCAAATTAAGAAAATATACGGTGGCAGCTTGTTGGGTTTTTTTTTTTGACTACAGAAAAAAAGAATACATTGAAACCTTGAAAGAGTACAGGCAAACAGTAAAAAATACAGGCTCCAACATAAATACTATAAGTGCCTACACTAGTGAACATTAATTTCAAATACCATTCTAAATACAGAAAGTAGACCATAAATGTGATGAGCCATAGGAACAGACAACGTGTGCAGTTTCCTACGCTTTTAAGTTCTCTCTATATATTTATATATCATAAATCTCTTCCAAATTCAAATTTTATGTTCAACCTGAAGACATGTGTATAGTAAAGGCAAATAAAGATGAGACATGTTCAATACAATTCATTACAATGCGAGCAAGTCCAGGCCATCACCAAGACACGAAAATGAAACGGCACTAAACGAAAACAAAAAAAAACTTAAATAATGATCTCCCCTTAAAAAAACAAAATGTACAAATCCACAACAAAAAAGAACCAAATAGAGTCAATGTGTTATTGTGTACTGAGCTTGATGTCCATGTAGCAGGATATTTTTATGGCGCTCCTGCAGTATACCATCACAAACCAAGCTGGGGTTGGCTCAAGAAAAACATGGCTGGCTATATTCAAGTCTTATTTTTCTATTTTTTGTCTTTTTCAATGTAAAAGTAATGACACCACACTAATCTGTCAGCATAAGAGCAGGATTTCCCTTGAGCGTCTGACTGTAAACTGGGAAAATTAAACAGTGCATGTTTTTAATACCAGATGTAAACCTGGTGATCATTTATACTCGACCGGCTGTACCTCCGATTAGAGAGACAGATACAGAGACGGGCAGAGTCACAAGTGCTATCATTAGTGATGACAGGGATGGAGATTCACTATCAGCGTGAGGATTAGAGCTTTGCTGCTCAAACATAAATGAATGGATCGTTTTGAACTAAACTAACTGTTTTATGACATTTGATGTGGATTTCTGTAAAAGATTATTCCCCATAGGATTCAATATATGAGTTATTTAAAGTTCCTAATACTAAAGCAGTAGAAGTAAGCGCTATAAAGATATAACAATTGAATTGTAAAGACACCTGGTTACCCCACACCACCCACGACCCTGACCCTCTAGCCCACCCCCAAAGAAACGGTCTAGCTTAGAGCAACTACAACCCACTGTGTGGTCTTCGAGTGACTGCTGCACCAATGCTGACGGGCAACACACATACAAAATACAGGGCAAAAACAAAACTTTAATTTTCAACGAGAAAAATGAAGAGCTTTATGTTGGTTTAATGACTCGTTAAATGAGTACCAACTAGGAACGGTACATTTGCACCAAAAATAAAACCTCAAAGAAAAGTCAACTAAAAGTCCAATTTGAGCATGTAACATGCAAGCAAACATAAGGAGGAGCAATACGAGTCCGGCAGGTTATGATTCAACAGAGAAAGATCGCTGTTTAGTTTGAGCTGCTTCTGTTGCTCTGCTCAGACGCTGTATGATGGACAGGTGCTTGATGCAAGCACCTGCTTTTCACATTTACAAAGTGGCCTGTATTAATATATAGCAGAAACTCTCGAGCTTATAGCAAAAAGGAGGGTTAGCTAATTCAGGTAAAGGCACTCAGTTCTCATTTCACACCATATTGTTCATTTCATTGCAGTTTGAAGAAAGATATTTTATGGCGCTTGTGCCTAGCATCTAATAGGCAGCCCAATTTCATATAAAGGTATATATATATCTCAATCTTACATTGAAAATCTTTTACAAAGAACGTTTTAGTGTGACCCTGCTTTTGATGTTTTGATAACTTGACACTGTCCAATATGTAAAACACAAAACTGTACATGATATGTAAAACAGTATGCACTGTATGCAGCATGGGTTCTCAAAACTAACTTTTTGTTGAGGAAAACAAGAGAATCAACAGCTACACTATTATAACCATACCCACCAACCAGGGACCATTTCTCTCTAAGTAGCCAAAACACACTGAGCATGCTGTCCAGTTACAAAAAATACAAAACATGTAAATTATTGCACAATAGAAAGGCTCAAAAAGTTTTGATGCAACTGAATTGCCCCGTTGATGGATCATGCATTCAGCTTGTCCAATCAGGGACGATAGCAGGGCTGAATGTGTCAAACCCTGTCGTCCTCTCCTCTCACTCAGTGGCTAGCTAAAAGGGTCAGTGGTAGCCCATAGTCCTTGTCTACTCAGTCTTAATGTCATTAGCCAGAGGCCGGTCGCTGTGCCACTTCTTCATGTGTTTCTCCAGAGTGCTGTAGACACTGAAAGGCATGTGGCAGATTTCACATTTGTACACATCCTTGCCCATCTGTCCATGGGTCTTCATGTGGCGCGTGAGCTTGGAGCTCTGAGCACAGGCGTAACTGCACAGCTCACACTTGTACGGCCGTTCTCCCGTGTGACTGCGCCTGTGCACTGTCAAGTTACTGCAGTTTTTAAACACTTTGCCACAAAACTCACAAGTGTCACTGCGGCGGCCATCTTTAGAGCTGGGTCTGCAGTTCCCACTTCCCCCGTGCGGCGTGCTGGCCCCGCTTCCTGTACCACTGCGTCCTGAAGCGCGCTCTCCGTCCAGCTCGCCAGGGGGAGTAGAGAACCGCAGACTGCCGTTCTCTGATGAGTGTTCAGAAGATGATGCGAAAGGCGATTGTCGTGAGTCCCCGCCGGAAAAGCTGAGGAAGGGGTCTTTGAGTTGTCTGGATGCTGCGTACCCCGCTAACCACTGGGAGTAAACATTCTCCGTGTTGGGGATGGTGGGGGTGGGCGGGTCAATGTCTTTCTCCATTTTGATGCGCTTTGACAGAGGACTGAGAGAGCCTGGACTCACGCCTCCTAACAGTTTACGTGAAATGCTCTCAACGGTCATCGGCCCGAGTCCGTTAATGGGAGTCGTGGCTCCGTTCTCGGCTCGGTCTGTCTCCATAACTGAGTCTTGGTCTCCGTTGTCTCGCAATGAGTTCCGCCGGCGTGGGTGCAGGGCCTCGCTGTTCTGATGGTGCCGCGCTCCCTCCAGTTTCAGGCTGAACCGATAGTCGTTTCTGTCAGTGCTCTCGGCGACATGTGGCTTACTCTCCATCTCGTCCTCAAGCTCCTCTTCCTCCCCCTCTTCCTCCTCCTCTTCTTCCTCCTCTTCTTCCTCCTCCTCTTCCTCCTCCTCCTCCTCATCTTCTCCATTCTCTGCCATCAAACCGTTGTTTTCATTCTTTAGCTTGGCCACCACAGACTTGAGTGCGTCCGTAGCACTGTTCATGATGTCGCTGGTGCCAGGCTCCGGTGAACTGGTGGCAGAGAGTCCGTCCTCAGACTTGGAGTTTGTCAGGGACTTGTTTGGGCAGTGAGTCTTCATGTGCCTCTTCAGTTTGCTGGCTTGGGTACAGGCGTGGTTACACAAATGACACTTGAAGGGCTTCTCGCCGGTATGGCTCCGTCTATGTACAATTAGGTTACTCTGGAACTTAAACGTCTTTCCACAGAACTCGCAAGACTTGGCCTTGAGGGGAGTACCTGGTTGGACAGCGTTGGAGCTGGCGTTTGGGGTCGAGAGGGATCCTGAAGGAGACTGGGACGTGGACAGAGGAGGTGTGGCTGAAAACGGAGGCTTAGACCCGGGCTGGAAAGGTAAAAGACGTTGCATAGGGGTAGGTCTGTTTGGGGAAAGAGGAGGAGAAGCCCCAGCTGCATTTCCAGCCAGCTCTCGCAGACGTCTAGAGAAGTCCATGGTTTGAGGGGGCTCAAGGGGCACAGAGTTTAGCCTCATCACTCTGTCAAAGGCGCTGGGATGGTGAGTGGCCAGTGCCAGGTCATCAGGGCTAAGGTGATGCCGAGGAGGAGGGCTGAACAACGGTGGAGTCCTGGGGTAACGTCCCTCTCGAGGGGTGGATGCAGAGTCCCGTCCTGAACCAGAACCTGGCATCCTCAGCAGACTGTAAGGACTGCCTTCAGCCAGGTGGACGGCATGCATGGGGGGCTGGGAGGAGGCACAGTCCCCCCCCATCCCAGGAGCTGTGGCCATGCGGGGAGTGAGGGGGCTCCCGGGTTCACTCTCCAGATAGATCCGCAAACCATGAGTGTTCTGGGCGTGTTGGAGCAGGAACCAGGCACTGGTGAAGGAATGCTTACACGTGGTACAAGTGTAACTGCTGGGCTCGTCTTTATCTGTGGAGAGAACACACACAGAGAGAAGATGTGTTATTAAAAGTAAGATTATTTTACACATGATTTTATTTTACCACCATTTATACAAGTATTACATATTCAACTTTATTACAGACACAAGGTCCAGATAAGACGACATCACACAAAAACAATAATAATCATGAAAATAACTATAAATCTTCATCATTTATATTTCACCACAGCCAACTTTAATTTAATAACACTGCATTTCTATTCGAACAAATGCACTCTCCCATGTTATTCCTAATTAAACTCACAGCAGCAGACTGTTTCATACATGAATACTATTTTTAATTAGCATAAAAGCCAAGAATATGCTTGAAAATATTCAATTTGTGGAGATGAGGACGGCTCTAAATATTTCACATAATTGTCTTTGAATGGCACTTGTACAGTGACCCGAGGTTTGGCTCACAATGCCCATCTAATCTCATTAAATGCAGTCTTCCCTTTCTGCCACCTTGTTTACAGAATTAGAGAGGCTGAAGTGGGACAAGGAGCTGATGCTGCATATCAATAGTGAATAATAAAATAGGAGGTCATGTGTTAATAAATTGTAAAGGCATTTACAGCCAAAAAACATTACATTGTGTATGTGTGTGTCTGTGTGTGTTTGTGTGTGTTTGCATGTGGGAGGTTCATAAAATGCATTTCAAGCATTACTTTTCTATTTTAGATATTTCATGCTTTATGGATTTATTTAAATCCTCTCAGGTGAATAGAGAAGGGGAAGGGGAAAGCAGAAGTGAGAGATATGCAAAATACGAAGCATCCGTCACTTGAAAATGTGCTCCCTCTTTCATCTCTGGGCTTTATTATCCTTTCTTCTTTCAATTCCACTGGAGGGCATTTTTCTCAAGACATTTGTACACAGTGCACCTAAACCAGAGCCGCAGCAGCAGCAGATTGTGTTTGTGTATGCATAATGCCTACAATGCGAGATGGACAGCCTTGCATGTTTTAAGGCGGCGGTGGCGAAAAGACAAAGAGGTGAAGACGCGTAAGAGAAGCGGAGGTCTGAAAAAGGAGGAGTAGCAGATGAGCTGTCTACTGTTGTGCGCTTGTCCTTTCCATTGAGTGTCCACGGCCCCCTCTGAACAATCTTACTTAAAGACCAGAACGCAGCATAAAATGTGCACCCAATCAAACCTCCACAAACCTTTTTCTCTTGACTCAAAAGAGTTGGAAGGGGGGTATACTGGTAAATTATGGATCATTACAATCTGCAAAAATTACAGTTAATTGCTGCCACCTGCAAGGGGCTTTGACCCACTATGGAATTTTTCCATCATAAAAAACCCATTTGCCCGTACACGTTTTGGTCTCTCTTTTCATAAGCACAAATAAAATGTGCCCACTACATTGGCTTTAGCGCCGTGTACAAGACCATTAGTTGTGTGCTTAGAGCCTTGTATCAGTCATAAAATTGCAATAATCAGGTCCTTCTGCTATACTTTGATTTAATTTCTGCCTTTCTTGATTTAATGTCCATACATAAAACCCAGGAGTATGAGGTACAACATAGATATGTGAGTTTTTAACATTGTGCAAAGGAGAAGTAAAAGATACGAAGGGTGTCCGGAGCTGTGTCCATCAGAGGAAAGAAAGCGTCAAAGCATTATTGGAGAAAAAGAAGTCGAACGAGTGAATGAAGTGTAGCGTGAAGGAGACACTTCCTAATGACAACCTTCCACATGTTTGAAGGATGCCACAGCCACCAAACAGCACTTCAAAGACTCTAGTCATTCATTTTCTTACGTATCAAAAGCAGAGTGACCGCTTCTGTGCAATCACACCCCATCTCCGGGCATTTGGCTAACTGTGCTCATGCCAAAGCAGAGGCAATAATTGTCGTCCCTTTTCTGACAGGGGACAGGCTGATGGGCATCTGCAGCCTGACCAAAGGATGCCCACTCTCACAACAATGCCAGAGAAGATATCTAAATAAGCCCACTATTGTCTGTAATAGCTATCCTCAAAGGGATGCAGAGACAGTTTTCAAAAGGCGAAAAAGACATTCTGACAAAGCGTTTGATGCTCTTGAAGGTTTTTCCCCCTGTAGAGGAACAGTGAGAAAGAAAGACTGATCTTATACAAACTAGACTGTCCTCTAATGGAATAAAGGACATCCACATGGTATGGCCTCGCTATTCGACAGTATATTTTCCCTTTCTACGTCTATGGTGAGTTTGAGAGCTAGGGCTAATGCTGGATCTCCAGGTTCCTTTGAAATAGGATCAGCAGTGACGAGAAGCCACAATGACAACCCGGCTGCCATTTCAGAGGAATGACTGAAAGAAGGGACTTTGGGGGGGGAGAGAAAGAGAGTGATGCAGGACGTAGGAAAAAAGAGGAGAGTAGAGAGGACAGAGCTGATGGGGGATTCCTCTGTTGGAGAAAAGTATAGAGGGATAATCAGAACAGAGGGAAGACACGCAGCAGAGAATAGCAAAGGAATAGCGGGTTATAAAGGCTTGTTCAAAGCCATTTCAGCACATTGCAGCACAAAGCAAAGCAGAGGGAGGCTATTACAGTGGCTAACAGAGCGGGATGTCAGGCAGAGAGTATATGATCTGGGCAGTGCGGAGAAAGACCCACAAAAATCACACACACACACTCACAAACGTCCAAGACCCTTTTTACTTATTTCAAAACAACGCCTTGACCGAAAGTCTGTGTGTAGTTTTATCAGCAGCAGACTAATTATCCGCTAACAGAGACACAAAAACAACTACTCACAAGTATTTGAGTGTTTACGACTATTGGGCGTTATCTTACAAAGTGACTTTACGTTTTGAACAAACTTTACAGACTACCTTGACCTTCATGTTTTTGTTTGTCCTTGACCAGCTCGTAACCAGGCCCTCATGTGTGGCTCTATGTGATATTGGTCATTTAGTTAATGGATGAAAAAGCTAACAGGATTATCCGACGGTTTTTTCTTTCGAACCGAGGAAGAGGAAGAGCGGGACAACACGAGGGGCACACACAGGGATGCACCTCGTCCCTGTCTGTGCCGATCAATGGCTCACCCGATGGCTCCCTCACACTACCTGAGAGGTGATTATGCTAATAGCAGGTCTTTGCCAATATTCATAAGTGTTTATAGGTGTTGGACTGAGTGCTTTGGGAAGATGGAGGCTTGTTAATAAGACGGCTCTTAAAGAAGCCTGGATCGCAACTGCAGTTAATGTGATTATGGCCCTGTTTATGTCATTAGGGTATTCACAGTCAGGGATTGGACAGAGGTGAAGGGTGAGCAGAGGCTTGAGGAGAGGCAAGAGCACTTCATGAGGAAAGGAAAAGGCTGAGAGATTATAAAAAAGGACTAAATGGTTTAAGTTTTAATGGTTTTGCTTTTAATATTAATATTATATACGGCTACTCGCAATATTTTACAATGTTCTATTATGGATTATTTACATTGCAGCACTGCTTTGCACCAGCTCAATTGCTATAGTCACTTTGATTTTATTGTACATAATATTTTTGAGCATCCATAAGTGTTATGTTAGTATTATTACTCTTTTTGTTATTATACTCTTTTTGTTATATTTTGTAAATTTACCTAAGTTGCCTGTGATTAATTTGTACTAATTATTTCTATGCCTACGCACCTGCTCAAAATAAATAAATAAATATATCTGGCATAAAAGAGACTATATTTTCACCTTTTGACCCTGAGTGATTCTATCTATGCCAAATGTGACATGTACATTTCTCTATTGTGAGATCAATAAAGTTTATCTTATCTTATAGAGGATGTCCTGAACTTCAGAACCTGGTTTCATTTTTCATTTTATTTTTTACAAACGCAGAATACACTACCGTTGCCATCGAACCAGGCGTACTGTCAAAAGTTGATGTTGCTCAAAACAAACCCAAACTAGTGCAACATCAGGAAAACAAATACAGTCACTGCTTGTGCGCTGCTTTAGTGACGCTTACAACATTTGCATATTTAACTTCATTTTGGCTATAAATTGCACCTGATGGTTTCCACACTCGGCAGTGCTCGCCTAAGTGGCCTGTCCGCCGATAATGCAATATATTCTCAGCAGTACCTCGTGCTGGGGGCCTGGTCATGGTGCACTGAGCCACTGACCACAGACAAAAGCCTTGTTGGACCAACACTTGTTCTTGAGACAAAGCCGAACACAGGAAACACGCTTTACTGCACAGAGAAAAAACGTCAAACAATATGAACCTAAACAGTGCTGTTATTCAGTGGGAGCCCCAGTTTATGGCGCAAGGCTGGTGTTTGAGTTAAACATTGCGCAACTGGAAGAAGCCGGCCACATTTACAGCACAAACTGTACAAGCAGACACTAAAGTCGAATGAGGAGGGAGGGAGGGTAGATCGCTGATAAAGACTGCGGTGGTCTTTAGGCGAACTGTGCCCAGAATAAAGTACACTTCTGGCTGTAGCTTTGTCTCCAATCAGACTTCTCACTTCTTACATTTCCTGTTCCCTTCTAGTGAAAGTCGATAAGAGCAACAGTGGAATTTAGGAGTCCACCTGAACCTCCGAGGAGCCATTACCGAGGTGTAAGTGAACGCATGCTGCAATCACAATAGACAAACAATGTGTCTTTGTGTGCTTGACCCAGATGTTTTGCAATAATGCTTCTCTCTGTATGAACCATGATCAACACCGTTAGCTGTTACAGTCTCAATATGGGAGCAATTATTTTACGTATTAAGTTCATGATGAGCGCAGACTGAACAATGACCTACCACAATTTAATCAATGTGACCTCATTTTTTTCTTTTTCTTTTTACATATTCAAGCAGGGCGGTCAAATGATGTTCCTGTTATACCACTTATAGGGCTCAGTCACACGCTTAGGGAGCGCAAGCACCACCGTTTTATAATTATCTCTGCTCCAAGTTATCTACTCTGTGCAACCATATTCTCTTTGATGTTTTTTTTTTTTCTCAAATGAACTGTGTTTGAACTGACCATCACATTGTCCAAG